ACCAGGGGGTGGTTAGCGAGGCACTGGTTTAGGGGCATGTGTTTGGACGAGTATAACCGAGTCCTGCACTTTTCACAAATCAATCGATGGGAAACTGTCTGGGGTGACAATACCACCATAACAATCTGGAAAGTTCTCTACACTAGCTGACCAACCAACATCGACAATGCTGTTGGGGGTACTGGCACTGCGACCGCAGAAGAATATGATGCCTTGGTCGCCAGCAGTGTCACTACCACATATTGGACAGCCAAAGTTGACTGCAATGGTTGTCCTGATCAAGAACCATTGTTTGCTGTTCCCGAGGAGGAGTCCAATCCACCTAACAGTCAATCGAGACATCTCTCTTCCTTTCTAAATCATGAGAAACCCCCCTCGAAAAAGAGAGGGTTACAAGCTGAACAATTTCAAGCCATCAGCTTTGACATGACAGAGTTCTTTCCGCTCTTTGCAGCCTCTTTTAGTTACAACATTGTTCTCCCGCTTACACTCCAAATCCGCCTGGCCGTCAGCCCAGGAATATTTACAATTGCCGAAAAAGGACACAGCTTATATCAAACAAAAAAACAAAAAAAGGAAGTATGCACAGGATCTGACATGTCGGTGGGGCCTGGTCCGACACAACCATTGATGTTTGCCGTTGCTCGGGCAGTGACTGAAAGCGGCAGTGTGGATGAACAGGCAGCACCTGTGCGACAAATTGGTGAACTTGTGATTCGAGAGATCCTAGAAGCCGTGGAAGCCAATCAAGGGACTATCCAATCACCCTTTGTCCAGAATGACCTTTCCACTATTGAAGACTGCATTCGACAGGAGCAAGGATCTGGGGCAGGTGAGAGCACAGGAGCCCCCAATGCTTCAGAATTCTGTCAAGCTTTGCTTCAGAGTAATGACATTGAGACTTTGGCGTCATGTCTTGACAACGCAGGATCCTCTGAATGTCAACAAATTTTGCCTGGTTTGTTGGAGGAAACACAAACTTTGAGGGAACAAGGTATCAGCGAGAACGATGCAATGAGCACCCCTGGTGAAGGTCAAAATGGCAATGACAATAGAGGCGAAGAAGGGGGGGAAGCCAATTCAGATGGTGGGGATCCAGGAACGGGTGCCTACTGGACCTAAATCGACGGCTGACTCTACCAGCTTCCTGAGAAGTGAAGCGCACTTGTTCTCTCCGTTGGGCGCGGCCAACCAGCAAAGGCTCACCCATCCTTCATCGACCAAGGTCAGCCATTAGCAGCCAGCCCAGCAATAGCCATTGGCGCAACCAGCGCCTCGCCAAACATGGGAACTCCAAGTTATGGTGCATTTGGCCCAGCAGCTACACCGGGCGGCCAATCTGGAAGCTCTGCATCAGTGGGCCCGACCATGCCGGGCAGTTCATTTGGTGAAGCCTCCGTGACTCTAGACATACCCACAGTTACCCCTGGCCAACCATCTGGGAGTCCCGTGACATCAGTTCCCACACTGCCAACCAGCTTCTCATGTGCGCGCTGGAAGCCTCGGCGTGACCCTCTAGACATACCCATCAGTTAACCCTGGTCAACCCTCTGCAAGTCCCACAACATATGTCCCCGTCACACCAACCAGTTCAATTGGTGAATCATCACCAGTGACTTTAGAGAAACACCCAACGGTGACCCCTGGTCAACCCTCGGCAAGTCCCACCACTTCTGTTCCCACCATGCCAACTGGTTCAACTGGTGAAGAATCACCTGTTGCTCTAGAAATCCCAACAGTGACCCCTGGAAGTCCCTCTGCAAGCCCAACACCTGGGAGCCCGTATGGTGTGATGCCAAGTGCCAGTGGCAATGCTGGCGGTTCACCGACAGGAGGAGGATCACCTTTGAGTCCTTCAAGTACCCAAATTCCAGTTCCACCATCCACTTCCCAAAGTCCTGCTGCTGGTGGCAATCCTCCAGTTACTGACAGCATGCCAACGACTGCTACAACGGCCAGCAATCCTACATCTAATCCAGCAGCAGTTGATGGAAGAAATCAAGGGGATGCTCCTAGTCAGCCAAATGATGGTGCACCCTCTCTTGCACCAGAACTCACAGTTGAACCAACCTTGGAACCATCAGTGACAACAACATCAGAACCCACCGCTGCGCCGACCCCAGATCCCACAACCGAGCCAACAGCAGAACCAACCCCAAGTCCCACAGCCGAGCCTACGACTGAGACAACTCCTGATCCCACTCTTAGCATCAACACTTCACCAAAAACACCCAACCCAACAACTGAACCAACAGCACAACCTTCAGCTGACATGACACCAGACTCTACACCTACTGCATCAGTTACTTCAATTCCCACAACTCAACAAGACCCTAGTCCAACACCCAATTCATCTCCAGAACCCTCATTACTACCATCTTCCGTTGGATCAAGTACTTCTTCACCTAGTGCGTGCACACCACCATTTGTATCAACAGAATCGGAATATGCTGTCACATTTAATGGTGATCTCTCATCAGTTCCTGACAGCAACTTGACTACAGCCTTCAAGAGTGCTCATGAGACACTGCCCCAGGACGAATGTACACCATGGCTCGATAATGTTGTGGTTCAAAGTAGATCGGTTGGTGCTGGAAGTGGCCGAAGATTGCAACAAGAATCTACCACTTTGGTCATCTTCCTGACAAACTCTACTCATCCCACTGATGTTGTGTTTCTTGGAACCACAGTAAGAGAAACAGCATTTCTCGAAGCCTTCACTATCTCCCTCGATACTCCAGGGGTTTCTGCGGCTTCAATTACATTTCAAAGTCAGCAACCATCTGTCACCCCAGGAAACCCATCTGGTTCTCCCACAACAGTCACCCCAAAACAGGACTCCAGGAAGTCCTTCTGTCTCTCCCACCACCGGCAGTCCAACAAGGCACCCCACTGTTACCCCGGGAAGTCCCCTGTCTTCCCACCACCGGACATCCAACTAGTGGTACGCCTACAGTGACTCCAGGCAGTCCCTCTGTGTCTCCCACCACGATCATTCCAACTAGTGGCACTCCCGACCGTACCTCCAGGAGTCCATCTGTTCCCCACCACCGTCAGTGTCATCCAACTAAGTGGCACCCCTACGTGACTCCAGGCAGCCCCTCTGTCTCGCCCACCACGACCATTCCAACAGTGGCACACCCACCGTACCCCAGGAAGTCCTTCTGTCTCTGCCCACCACGTCAGTCCAACTAGTGGGCTACTCACCCGGCAGTATCTGTCCTCACCCCACCATAACAAGGCAAGGATCAAGTCCCTCTGTCTCGCCCACCACATGAATCCAACTAGTGGCACCCCACCGTAACCCCAGGGAGTCCATCTGTCTCGCCCACCACCAGCATCCAACAAGTGGCACCCCGACTGTCACCGGGAAGTCCCTCTTCTGCCCACCACGATCATTCCAACAGTGGCACACCCACCGTAACCCAGGGAGCCCAACTGTCTCTCCCACCACCGGGAGTCCAAGAACAGGCACCCCCACTGTCACTCCGGGAAGTCCATCTGTCTCTCCCACCACCAGCAGTCCAACACAGGCACGCCGACTGTCACTCCAGGAAGTCCCTCTGTTCTCGCCCACCACGACATTCCAACTAGTGGCACACCCACCGTAACCCAGGGAGCCCACGTCTCTCCCACCACGGCAGTCTAAGAACGGGCACCCCCACTGTCACTCGGGAAGTCCTCTGCTCCCCACCACCAGTCCAACAAGTGGCGTACCTACAGTGACTCCAGGCAGTCCCTCTGTTCTCGCCCACCACGATCGTTCCAACTAGTGGCACACCCACCGTAACCCCAGGAAGACCATCTGTCTCTCCCACCACCAGCAGTCCAACAGGGCAACCCACTGTCACCAGGAAGTCCCTCTCTGTTCTCGCCCACCACATCATTCCAATAGTGGCACACCCCCGTAACCCAGGGAGCCCAACTGTCTCTCCCACACCGGCAGTCAAACGGCACCCCCACTGTCACTCGGAAGTCCATCTGTCTCTCCCACCACCACAGTCCAACAACGGGCACGCGACTTACTCGGAAGTCCCTCTGTCTCCCCAATTCATTCCAATAGTGGCACCCCACCGTATCCCCAGGGAGTCCATCTGTCTCCCCACCCGGCAGTCCAACTAGTGGCAACCCGACTGTCACTCAGGGAAGTCCCTCTTTCTCGCCCACCACGATCGTTCCGACAAGTGGCACACCCACGTAACCCGGAGCCATCTGTCTCTCCCACCCAGCATCCAACAAGTGACACCCACAGTGACTCCAGGAGTCCTCTGTCTGCCCACCACATGATCCACAGTGGCACCCACTGTCACTCCGGGAAGTCCATCTGTCTCTCCCACCACACAGTCCAACAAGTGCCGCCACTGTCACTCCAGGAAGTCCTCTGTCTCGCCCACCACCATCATTCCGACTAGTGGCACACCCACCGTATCCCCAGGAAGTCCTTCTAGAGTCCATCTGGAAATCCCAGCTTCAGCCCCACGGTTACCCCTGGAAACCCTTCTGCTGCACCGACAACCAGCATTCCATCTATCGATCCCAGTGACAGCCCTAGCGAACAACCATCTCTTTTGCCTTCCAGAGTCCCATCCGGAAATCCAAGCGTCAGCCCCACGGTTACCCCTGGAAACCCTTCTGCTGCCCCGACAACCAGCATTCCATCTGTCAATCCCAGTGACAGCCCTAGTGAACAACCAACTCTTTTGCCTTCTAGAGTACCATCTGGAAATCCCAGCTTCAGCCCCACAGTTACCCCTGGAAACCCTTCTGCTGCACCGACCACCAGCATTCCATCTATCGATCCCAGTGACAGCCCTAGCGAACAACCATCTCTTTTGCATTCCAGAGTCCCATCAGGAAATCCAAGCTTCAGCCCCACGGTTACCCCTGGAAACCCTTCCGCTGCACCAACCACAAGCGTTCCATCTATCAATCCCAGTGACAGCCCTAGTGAACAACCAACTATTTTGCCTTCTAGAGTCCCATCTGGAAATCCCAGCTTCAGCCCCACGGTTACCTCTGGAAACCCTTCTGCTGCCCCAACAACCAGCATTCCATCTGTCAATCCCAGTGACAGCCCTAGTGAACAACCAACTCTTTTGCCTTCCAGAGTCCCATCTGGAAATCCCAGTTCTGCTCCCACACCGACTCCTGGAAGCCCCTCTATCATGCCAATCACCAGCCAACCCGCCACTAGTCTCAGCATGGAACCCTCTCTCTCGCCGTCCAGCTTGCCAATCAGCGATCCTGCTCTTCCTACAGGAGCCCCATCTGCAGTACCTTCTAGTTTTCCTTCGAATGAATCGTCTATGGATCCTTCTGGTTCCAGTTTTCCATCAAGTGCACCTTCAGCCCTCCCATCAACACCACCATCTACCGGATCTTCACCATCAGTCCTTTCTAAAGAACCCTCGAACACGCCTTCCAGCATTCCATCTGCGACTCCCTTGGCTGGGTCGACACAACCTTCAATTTCCATTAGTCCCTCAAACCAACCTTCAAACCAACCTTCAGCCCACCCTTCCGTTTTGCCATTTGGGTCTTCAGTATCACCCTCTGCTTCTGCGGCACCATCCAACACCCCTTCCAAGATTCCATCAATCACTCCATCAAGCAGTTTATCGATTAGTCCATCGATTAGTCCATCAGTTCTGCCATCCATAGCACCCAGTGTTGGTCCATCAGCTCCACCATCAAACCAACCAACAATTGTGTCTTCCATGTCTCCCAGTGAGAGTCCATCTTTACCACCATCATCTACTCCATCATCCTTGTGTTTTACAACTTCCCTTCTTGTTATCCAATCCACACAAGAAGTGACAGGGTGTATGACCATGAACCAAGGGGAATTCACTGGTAGCAGCGTGTATCATGCGTCGTCATGCGGCAACACCACTGCTCAACAGTACGTCTACAGCTGTACAGACCGATTTGAGGTACAATCGGGCCAGGGGTGTTTGGCAGTTGACAACAGCAACAAGCGATGTCATAATCTCCCCATGTCAGGACATACTCAGTCAAAGGTGGTTGTCTCTCATTGGAAAATCAAAAACTCAAGGTCAAAACCCAGCACGATAACAGCTGCCTCACCTGGGTTGGTCTCCCTGGAAGGAACTTTGTTGTAGCTGCATGCGATGACACTGAGGCTCAAAAATTCTATATTGATGATACTCTGTACAGTGGAACACTATCAGCTTCTCCTTCGAATCAGCCATCCGCATCTCCTAGTGTTGGTCCATCAGCTCCACCTCAAACCAACCAACAATTGTGATCACTGTCTCCTAGTGAGAGTCCATCGTTACCACCATCATCTACTCCTTCAACAGTCTGCTTTACAACACCACTTCTTGTGTTCCAATCCACACAAGAGTTGACAGGGTGTATGACCGTGAACCAAGGGGAATTCGCTGGTAGCAGCGTCTATCATGCGTCGTCATGCGGCAACACCACTGCTCAACAGTACGTCTACAGCTGTACAGACCGATTTGAGGTACAATCGGGCCAGGGGTGTTTGGCAGTTGACACAGCAACAAGCGATGTCATAATCTCCCCATGTCAGGACATACTCAGTCAAAGGTGGTTGGTCTCTCCATTGGAAAATCAAAAACTCAAGGTCAAAACCCAGCACGATAACAGCTGCCTCACCTGGGTTGGTCTCCCTGGAAGGAACTTTGTTGTAGCTGCATGCGATGACACTGAGGCTCAAAAATTCTATATTGATGATACTCTGTACAGTGGAACACTATCAGCTTCTCCTTCGAATCAGCCATCCGCATCTCCTAGTGTTGGTCCATCAGCTCCACCATCAAACCAACCAACAATTGTGATGTCACTGTCTCCTAGTGAGAGTCCATCGTTACCACCATCATCTACTCCTTCAACAGTCTGCTTTACAACACCACTTCTTGTGATCCAATCCACACAAGAAGTGACAGGGTGTATGACCGTGAACCAAGGGGAATTCGCTGGTAGCAGCGTCTATCATGCGTCGTCATGCGGCAACACCACTGCTCAACAGTACGTCTACAGCTGTACAGACCGATTTGAGGTACAGTCAGGCCAGGGGTGTTTGGCAGTTGACACAGCAACAAGCGATGTCATAATCTCCCCATGTCAGGACATACTCAGTCAAAGGTGGTTAGTCTCTACATTGGAAAATCAAAAACTCAAGGTCAAAACCCAGCACGATAACAGCTGCCTCACCTGGGTTGGTCTCCCTGGAAGGAACTTTGTTGTAGCTGCATGCGATGACACTGAGGCTCAAAAATTCTATATTGATGATACTCTGTACAGTGGAACACTATCAGCTTCTCCTTCGAATCAGCCATCCGCATCTCCTAGTGTTGGTCCATCAGCTCCACCATCAAACCAACCAACAATTGTGATGTCACTGTCTCCTAGTGAGAGTCCATCGTTACCACCATCATCTACTCCTTCAACAGTCTGCTTTACAACACCACTTCTTGTGTTCCAATCCACACAAGAAGTGACAGGGTGTATGACCGTGAACCAAGGGGAATTCGCTGGTAGCAGCGTCTATCATGCGTCGTCATGCGGCAACACCACTGCTCAACAGTACGTCTACAGCTGTACAGACCGATTTGAGGTACAGTCAGGCCAGGGGTGTTTGGCAGTTGACACAGCAACAAGCGATGTCATAATCTCCCCATGTCAGGACATACTCAGTCAAAGGTGGTTAGTCTCTCCATTGGAAAATCAAAAACTCAAGGTCAAAACCCAGCACGATAACAGCTGCCTGACCTGGGTTGGTCTTCCAGGAAGAAACTTTGTTGTAGCTGCATGCGATGGTAGTGGAGCTCAAGCATTCTATATTGACGATACTCTGTACAGTGGAACACTATCAGCTTCTCCTTCCAATGGACCATCCAACATTCCAACTGTGGGGATTCCGTCACTTGGACCATCAATCTCTCCATCGTTGACACCATCAGTGGCCCCAAGTCTATCAGCGCAACCCTCTTCAGGCCCATCGAATGAACCATCTTTATCGCCGTCAGAATCCCCAACCCAAGCACCGTCAGACTACACCCCTATTCCTGTTGTATATTTTGGTGACGACAGCCCTCCTTTGCCGCTTGGTCTTTGTGAGGGTGACTGTGACACTCCAACACACGTGAGTTCTGCTGTGTTCTTTCTTGCTTCATTGGCATGAGTTATTTAACTTTCTATTTGCAGTGTGGAGGAGCAGGAGATTTGGTTTGTCTCCACAGAAGCTATGCGTACCAACCCGTTCCAGGATGTATACTTGGCAATGCGTATGGTGGAGTTGGCGACTTTTGTGGTGTAAGGAATGCAAAGGTACTTGGTGTAACCAAACTGACTCATGAATCAGATCCAATTCCCGCATCACTTCGACCCCTTAGAGACTGTGAGGGTGATTGTGATTCACACAGTGACTGTGACACTGGCCTGGTTTGTTTGTTCAGGAATCGCAATGGGATCCCTGTTCCAGGTTGTATTTACGACTTCACCAATGAAGCTGTATCAGCGCAGACAGATTATTGCATCCAAAGAGATCAAGGAACTGCTATTCGATACTTGGGTGAAAATGGTATTCCTTTTGCTGCATTGGGACCACTAATGCAGTGCGAAGGTGACTGTCGCAACCATGGTGAATGTCAAGGAGATCTGGCATGCCTTCAAAGAAGCTCAGGAGATCCGATCCCTGGGTGTACTGGTATTGACAGGACAATTGAATATAGCAAGAACTTCTGCGTCCAGAGAGGCACCGGAGAGGTTATCAATTTCGGATCCTCTCCTGACTTGTCAGCAACGGGATTGGGGAAACTTAGACTTTGTGAAGGCAACTGCAACAGCAGTGATGACTGTGATGCTGGCCTTGTTTGTTGGGTCCGATCCTCTGGTGATGCTGTGCCAGGCTGTGTTGGTGGCGACCTTACAATAACAACAAACTTCTGTGTTGTGCCACAACCGACAAATGCACCAACCAAGATTCCTTCCAAGGCTCCCTCAAACCTGCCATCAATATCTCCTTCCAATGCTCCCTCTACGATGCCATCAACATCTCCTTCTGATTCGCCCTCGCTTTCTCCTTCTGATTCGCCCTCCATTTTGCCATCGATCGAACCTTCCCAACCCCCCTCGTTGATACCATCGAAAGCTCCCTCGAAAACTCCAAGCCTAGTACCATCATCTCCACCAACACCTGATCCATGGGGAGCATGTTTGACCAACTATTTCACTGGATTTTGTTGTGTCAAATATCAACTACCAGATTCCCGCACGAATATTGGTTCCGTCAACGACTACAACTCAATTAACGATTGCTACTGGGCTTGTGTTGCCATCTATGATACAGCCACCTGTGCCCAAATAATGTGGGCAGCAGGTACAGAGTATACTGGTGGGGGTACTCCTAGCAGAGTATGTGCTTTGATGACTTCAAGTGGCTTTTCCTACTATGGTTATACCGGAGATGGAGGATGTCCATATTATGTTTGCCAAGCAGTCTCACCTGCATAACTGACGATCAACTCGCGATCAGACCTGGACATTGCTCTTGGGAATACAAACAACTGCAATGGGGATTTCTCAGCAGCAGGACCCTACGGTATGGCTTCATCGTTTTGCATGCATGCAAACAAAAGAATGTCCCTCACAACTATTTGTCGTTTTGCTTTGAAAAGGCGCCATATCAACTTGTGAGTTCTGGCTGTGGATTTCGTACTTGTATCTGGAGCGCGGTGTATCTAACTTTTGCAAATACTTTCGGCCTATCACAGGGGATGTATCCAAAGTGAATGATTTCTCCTCGGTGAGTGTTCCAGGTTGAGGTCGCCAGCATCTAGTGTGTTTGTAGCCATGCCCGACTAAATTCAATTCATTGTTCTTTGCTTGCTCCAGCTGTTCCAAAATTGCAACAGTTTTGATGAGAATATATCTGACTGGACTACCAGCCAAGTAGTAACAATGCTATATTTGTTTGATGGTGCATCGGAGTTCAATCAAGGTGAGTGTGTGTAATTGCTCGATAGATGGCTTGTAGCAACCACTGCTATGTATCCACTAACGCAACGTCTTTCTGACTTCTGCTAGACATCTCTGGCTGGAGCGTGTCAGGCGTTTCTACAATGGGATCCATTTTCCGTTATGCCTCAAAATTCAACCAGAACCTTGTTGCTTGGGACGTTAGTTCTGTCATGCAATTTGACTCAGCATTCTTGGGGGCCACACTCTTCAACCAAGATTTGGATGCCTGGAGACTTCAAGTCAACAGTGGAGCCAGTGTTTCCAACATGTTTGCGTTAACTAGTTGCCGATCCACGGCAAGTCCAGATCTATCCCTGAGCAACAAAGGACCATTCTGCCGACCACGCTTTATTGTCTCGTTGGATGGTCCCTCCAGTGGGCAATGCCTGTACGGTGAAGGGATTTGGACATTCTACCCAACCTCCTGTGACTATTCTTCGGCAGAACAGCTTTACACGTATGACCCATCTACACAAAGAATCATTAGCGATGCCTATTCTGGGAGCTGCCTCGTATCGCTGGGGTCAGCTCGACCAAGAAGTAAATGCGCAGAACTGTGACAACAGTAACGAACAGAAGTGGTACAGAGACGGCCTAAGACTTCGAGAGTCCCGCGATGATCGTTGCTTGACATGGGAAGACGCCAAACCAAGAGGCCGGCCTTGTGATGGCCGCTCCGGACAGGAATGGGAAGTTCCGGCCGACTGGTTTGGATGAACAGGGCGGAGTCGAATGGAAGAGCAACGAGAATGGATTTTTGCAAAATTGCCCAGCGCTGCTTGAGAGTGCCAATGTTTAAATTTGTTATTGGTGAACTACAAGTAGTACCAGAGCTAGTTTTTGGTTGTTGAGGACCGTGATTCTGATCTTTTGCGTTGCGCCAGGTCCGCACAGAGCCCGTGTATTGGTGCGTAGGGCTGCTGTCGATCGGCAACCGTTGATTGTGTTGCTTTCTAGCTAGTCGGTACGGTATATACATAGCTGAACAGAGGCACTCGTTCGATTCAGCCGCTTCCGCGACTTTGGTGGTGCGTGAATCGAGGGATGCGCTTCTCGGGTTCGACAGGTCCACTTCAGCGCAAAGGCAAAGGCAACAGCACAGAACGCAACTCCCGAATCCACCAATACTAATAGCGCCCCAGACAGGCAGGCAAGACTAGGCGTACCATGCAGAACGGCGTTCGCATGACGGCACCGCCCATCGTAGACCAGGGCCCTCAAACGCAGCCGACGAGCGGAGTCGAGTCGAGTCCAGTCGAGTCAGCAAGTCGGATCCAGCCGAATTAAGCCAGCGGAGCTGTGTAACCTCGGCAGAAAGGTTTCAGTGTAGAAGCAGATCCCCCTATTAGCTAGCTACAGGAACGTTGTGGAATGGGCAGTCGTGTATAGACAAGATGGTTTGGAATTAAGACAAGATTGGAAATCTCATTTTGTCCTAATTCTCGATTAGGACACGACATCTTGTCCTATAATTCTCACTAGACAAGATTGGGTGACAAGATTGGTAGATTTAAGACAAGATCACGAAACCAATGACAAGGCAGAAACCAATGACAGCCACTCAACAGCAACAATCAAAAGGAGACCATGGCCGACATCGAAGACGACTACGACGATGAGAACGACATAGGGCAGCTTGTGGTTCTCACTCCTAGCGAGATGCTAGAGAGGGGTTGCTGTTTGCCGATTATTCCATGAAGACTGTCGACCGTTGCAAGGAATCAACCAGCATCGAAAGGTTCTTGTCGCGATATGGAGCATCTCCAACCGTGCTGTGCGCCATCTTTGAAGATCTCCAACGATCTGAGAATGAAGAATGCCGCATAGATTCTGGATCAATTCGGCTGGATTATTTTCTCATGTCCATGCACTTTCTCCGACAATATCCAACAGAGCATGAGCGCGCTGCAGCGACGGGATTTCATCGCGACACGTGCAGAGACTGGACTTGGTTTTACGTTGAGAGAATCCAACAATTGAAGCACGAAAAAATTGTCTGGCCATTGCATTATGCTGCTAATGACATTTGGGCGATTACTGTTGATGGAACCCATTGCTAGATACATGAGCCGAGCCACCCAGAGTTCTCTCAAGTTTCTGAGTATTATTCCCACAAATACAACAAGGCTGGAATGAACTATGAATTTGGCATTTCTGTGAAAGATAGTCGGTTGCTTTGGATGAATGGACCATTTCGGGCTGGTGAGCCAGACTTGTCAACCTTTCGCGAACGTGGCCTCAGAGATCAACTTCGGCAATGCAAGCAGAAAGCAATTGGGGACAGTGGCTATCATGCAGAGGAAGATTTCAATGTCATGAGCACACCCAACAATTGTCATGAGCCAATCGTAAAAAAATTCAAGCGCCGTGCTCTCAAACGGCACGAGAAGCTGAATGACATGACAAAAGAATTCAAGGTTCTCAGCAGCCGATTCATGCCCCCACTCCACCGTTTCACAAGCTGCTTTGAGGCTGTCACTGTTGTTTGCTGCTACAAGATGGATTTGGGCAGCCCAATCTACCATGTATTGGTGATGGAATGCAGGATAGCTAGAGCTCTGAGTAATTTAGCATCTAGCTATTTTGTTAGATATCGTCATCCGACTCTCGTCATAATCAAAATATTGTTCTTCCTCTTTGTCATCCATCTCGGCCTCGGCCTCCATATCGCTGTGTGTATCGCCGTATTGATCGGCGAGATCAGCTCGAGCATCATCGTTCAAAGACAAATCGTCAGCTGTTCGCTTTGGTTTGTTTGTCGAGTCAGCACTCATAAATGCTTTCAGGTCAGTAGCGACATCAATCAGTTCTTGCAGTGCTCCTCCCCCCTTGCTGCCTGCTGCCGCTCGGGCAAGCGATGAGGTGGTAACTGCCTTGTCTTTTCCAGCTCGCCTCTTCTCCCTTGTTGGAGCTGGTGCCGGAACTGGCACCGGAGCAATCGGAGGAGCTGGTGCTGGAGAGAGCAGCACTGGAGGAGATGGTGCTGGTGCTACGATTGGAGGATATGGCGATGGCACAGCTACTGAGGCAACAAAATGAGTAACAAAACATTTTTCATTAGATCACTACACTAAAAGCAAATGGCAAGTTTGCAGCCTGCTTTCTACGGACCTGGAACAGTGTAGCCAAGGCTAGCAAGAATCTTGCTGGCATCACTCATGGTGGCCTTCTCCTCCGTCTTTCCCTTTTTGCGACTGGTGAGATGATCGCATACAACCAAAAAGACTGCGTTATTGTCTTCTCGGTCCTTCACCTTTGCAAGTTGATGGTCAATCTTCACAGTTCCAATCAAAAGCTGAAGCCAATTGTCCTCTCCAGAATCGGAAAAAATAGTCTTGGCATCAAACTCGTGATCATCCAGAAACACAAGTCGATAGTATTGGAACTGCTTGATAGCGGCCCTCCCTTTGGTTGCTTCTTCTTGAGCTTGTCATGACTATGATCCAATGCACCCGCAAGTCCTTTGGCAGCGTTCGTTGTCGATGCTTCAAATGCATCTCGATGGAACCGCTGATTGTAATCCCAGGCGGGAGTTTGACCAATATCTCATTGCTGCTCGTAATACGCGCCGAATACCAAAAGGTCATCAGATCGTCCAAAATCCAGCAGAGATCCAATAGAAGAACAATAGCGTATCCATAATAGAGATATACCTTTGTGGTCGCCCACACCCTCAAGCATCTGGCCGAGCTCGTAGACCTGAAGTGGCCCATTATTTGCCGGATTTTCAATATCGACTTGGATTGGAACTAAGAACAAGCAAAGGGCAGTGAGGAGAACAACCAAGAACAAACATTATTCCATTTCTCAGCACGTACGAATGCTAGAGTTGCTGTTGCCCAAGTTCAAATTGTCGAGACTGGCAGCAAGATCTTTTGTTGTGGTAGATTTCTTGATCTTGGCGATCCCTTGCTGCTTTGTTGGTGTTGACTTCGGAGTTTCCTGCGTTTCCTGCTTCTTCTTGGGTAGTTTGGTGGGCGTCTCGATCACTGCTGGAACAGGCAGTTCGTCGTCTTCATCTTCGTCTTCCTTTGAGCTGATCGAAGAATCGGTTTTCTCGTTCTTTCTCTTTCTTGGTGGGCATTTCTGGAATTTCTAGCTTCAGCAATACTCTGCTCCGCCACTGATCCTGTGACAACAATTTCCACTTGTTTACCTTGTTGCTAATCTTGGTACGAAGAGCCGAGCCAACTTCTCCGTACAAAGCTTTGTCGTCCGAGTTGTGCTTGTCGAGAAGCTTTTGCAGCACCTTTGGGCCCTTTAGCTTGTGAATTCCTCCGTACTCTTGTTGGATGTCAGTTGCAAGAGACTTGATTACAAATGCTGGTAACCCTGGTCTACTGCCAACAGTAGACGATGCAACAGACCCTCCACCAGGATCAGCCTTTGTTTCCTTCTTTCCACTTCGGGTTGAGACCATTGTGGCACCTTTGAGCCGCCAAAAAAATTGGAGGCCAGCAGAATTCTGAATTCAGAGGTGACCTAAGCCAGCAAGGCCTGCTCGTGGTAGGATTTCTACGTGTCTCCCTGCTCTTCAAATTCTTTCTTGGAGAGCTAGATTTTTAGCTCTCAAAGTTCTTGAAGTTAGTTGGGTCATTTGACAGCAACAGCAACAACAACAACACACAACAAACCATGCCGCGACGTCAAACCACCAAGAATTCGAGGACTCCTCCTCCATTACCACCCGACATCCTTAAGGATGAGCAGTTGGAAGTCCCATTGGACGAGATCCCACCAGATGCCGAAGAATCCTGGCTCAAGAGCAAAGCTAGAGCGCTTTTGATGCAAGATATTATTGACAATGTGATTCCGAGACAGCCCGACAAAGTAATGCCAACCAGTGAGATCTTTACAAGCCGTCCCGAATATGCTCTTCATGGGTACAAAAACTTCTCGACACGACTTTCAAGCCTTTGAAAGATTGTGAAGCGGCACCTCTCTAGAACCGATGATGACAAGGCTGCATTCAGCAATTTCCTCACAAACAATGTTATGCACAAATTCTCTGCTCATGGTTACCCGGAATGGGATGGATCAGAAGCAAAAAAGAAATTGGAAGAAGACATCGAGCTTGGCTTACTCGAGACGCTAGAACCCGCGGAGCTTTGGTGCCTTCGAGATCAATACGATCCTTTCCCCCTGAAAGTGTTTAGAGATCACATCTATTAGCTAGCCAAAATAAAGAAATATCTGCATACATTGGATATGAAAGGAAAGAAGCGCTTGAAACCAAAGATAAAGAAGAAGAACAAAGCCTCCTAGCTGTCGATAGATGGAGTACGGTCATAGTCGTCTTGTAATAGCTGCTAGTAGTGTCGTTGAATATTGGCTTGAAGACTTAGGACAAGATGAAAGATTTAGAGACAGCAACCTTGTCCTATATGACAAGACCGGAAGAGCCAATCCGGCTTATAGGACAAGATTTGAAGACAAGATTGAGAATTAGGACAAAACCGTGTTTTCAATCTTGTCTTATTTCAAAATTAGACAAAATCGGAAGCACGACTGACAAGTTACCGCGATTTCCACAGCGTTCCAGTAGCTGTTGGCCGGTCTA